TATTATAAATATGTTAAAAAAATAATCAATAAATATCAATAAAATAATTATAATATTAATAAAACAATTAATATTAAAAAGTCGAAAAATATTAAAATATACATGTTATAATTAATTTTATAATATCTGGAAAATTATTATTTATAATATTTTTAAGAATGTTTATATATACCTATCGTCAAAAGAGAAGAAAGAAATTGTACTGTTCAATAATAAAAGTTTGATCTATTGTTGAATCATACTATTCGAAAACAAAAGTTTTTTTTTAGTTATTGTCATTACTGCCATTGAATCGTACTATTTGAAAATATAAAGTTAATTTAACTTGTTACTGTGTTATATTATATTAAAAAACAAAAAGTTATCTAATTTGTCGAGCTTTATTAAAATCTCAATTTTTTAATAAAAATGATGGCGGCTTGTAGGAGAAACTTTTTAACTTATTTAACTTTTAATTTATTTCAATTTATTCAACTTTTTAATTTATTTCACTTTTTAATTTATATTCAAAGTAATAATTGATCCGTCCCGCTCGTTAAGAAACAGTCTACCTGGCGTCATCTAGCGGGATGGCGTAAACCTCATTGCACTTCGTGGGTTTGGGTCTCGGCTGAGTCAGCTTTGAACGTTGGCTGCTATGACTCGTTATTATCAAACCCGTTATTTTTTATTAGTTCTAAAATCTCCGTTACGAGCCGCCACTGTCTTTAATGACAATTCGAGGTCGTAATACGATTTAATGATGAGTTAGGCAGATCGTTATTTTTCCAAATAGTATTATTTAACGATGGATTAAAAAAATCTTCTATTTTCAAGAGTGACTCAACAATATAAGCCAAGAAACTTTTCTTATTTTAATTAGTACAACTCAACAGCAGGTAAGTTAACGTTTTATTTTCAAATGGTATAGTTCAATGTAGGATAAATGATCTTTTTAATTTTTAACTCATGTGAGTTAACGACGGATTAAATAAGCTCTTTATTCTTTAATTTCTAACATAACCGAACAAAAGGAATAAACTTTTGTCTTTATTTATTAATAAAGAATAAATGTTCTTTTGACCCGGGGATAAATTTTATTATTGGGAAATGGTAATCCAACCAAAGCAGAATTTAACTCGAGATTTTAATATTAAAATATTAATACGTTAATACGGTATTAATTATTAATGACGTTCGTAAATATTTCGTAATTATTTTTTGATATTAATCCGCTGTATTAACTTTGGAGGCATTAATTATTACATTCATTTATTACAAAGAGAAATGCTCGTCTCGATTTCTATGGATTTTATCAGTTGTGTTTTTTGAATATTGTTTGCTCGCTGGTGTATAAAAATTTAGATGCGACGTCAGATAATAAAATTTGAAAAGTTATAATGCAATTACAAACGAGAGGTTGGATTTTTCTTATTCAGCCTTCTGCAAAATCCATTTCCGAGAATGAAAATAATAAAATTGGATTGAATACATCAGCATTAAATATTCCGATATTTGCACTTCTCATTCCGTAATTAATATTCTCCAACAAAAACATGAGATATCAATATTTTACCGATTAATTAATAGCTATATCGCTTTCGCTTCAAAACAGCCAGCTTCAAAATAAATATTTCTTTTAGATTTTAAGTGTGTACATCAACACGAATTATAATGACTTATTCTTCACGAGCATGCCGATAACGCAACGTGATATTAGCTCTCGTCGCATAAGATTTCACAAGTTTAGAAAACCAGTAAAAATATCATAGGAACAGGTCTGATGTATTCCGGGAGATCAAAGATATTTCACGAGCACTAACCAAACAGATTCCTCGTTCGAAGCGACGATATTACGGTGTAAGGAATTAAAAACGATTTGCAACGCGTTGAATATCAATTTGAATATTAATTTATGCGCTTCTGTCGAATTTCGACGAAAGCGTTTAAGATACAGCAAAAATATTCGCATTGCGACGTTTTAACGGAAATAATGCGTAAAGCTTCAACTTAAAAACGTTGCGGCACCGAAATGTATATTATTATCTAGCATAGTGATCTAATTCGCGTATGCATTGTAACGATTATATCTGAATATATCGCCACGATTAACAATATGGAGTAACCGGTGTAGGATTATATTTCGCGCAAGATTATATTTCCTTGATGTGAATGATACACGGATGATGTGCAAGGGATTAACAACAAAATTTCGACGGTTTAATCTACAAATGTGCGTTTGTAGGTTTAACGATATCGCGCTGACGGAAAAAGCGGAGCGAATTCGCATATTTTTTTATGCAGCTCTCGAGCGCTTATTACTATCCGAACTTGAGATTACTGCGTCCGTTAACACACTAGTTCATATTGTTACTACCGATTATTACTGATCTTCTAGTGATAACTACTTTATCTTCGTATTACATGCGATAAAGGGTAATATTTCACATTCTTCAAATTTTTCTCCGTCTTTTAGAAGAACAACTTGGTGACAAAAAATAATTACCTAAGATAATCTGAAAATATTCGAAATAATTAAGAAATTAGTACAAAAATTAATATAATTACATAAAGTAAACCTATATTTATCTTAAAGAGAAAACAACGTAGATGTATAAAGATAAATATTTTACAATTCACGGGTCGGAAAGAATGAACGTAGAGAAGCGAAAATCTCGCCGATTCGATTCGAAACGTCTACTTCGGTCAATAAGAAATGGATTACGCTGTTGTGATATCCTTGAGAAATAAACCCGGGGGTAAAATCTCTTCTGTCCCGGGCTTCTTGCAGCATGGAAAAATACCGCGAATTTCTACGCGACGAGACCTCGCGAGGGCTCTCCCGCCGATTTCAAGACCAAACTTCCCCTAACGAACCGCCGTTTATATTCGTGCCCGAAACGACGGTGGTTAGAAATAATAATCGGTAGGCGAATATCATTCTTCCGGGAGTCCGCGCGTGTTCGCCGCAGCGTGGCGACACGCGCGCTCGCGTTCCCACAACAGAAATGTTCATTAAAATAATAAAAACCCGGGCTTCTCCATCCCGTAGAATCGAGCCTCGGATATACATTAATTTCCGCAACGGCCGTCGGCCCGATAAAAATAATGATCGGATATCGGGCGATAGCATCGATCTCGCGGGGACATTTAAATTTCACGCGCCACGGCGTCGTACGACGACGACGACGACGACGAGGCGAGAGAAGTCGTCGTCGATCGGCGACGTTAACGATTGCGCGGCGATCATTTGGTTGAACGCGAAAATTAAATGATAATGATATTCCGCGCCAACACAACGCGCATTACTCGCGCCTCGCCTCGCCTCGACGACGCGGGATATTTCTTTTCCTCGCTTTCCAACTCCCGAGTTCCTGTCCTCACCGCCGAGGCCCTCCCTTTGTGCCGCGAAAATACTCGTTAGTCTGAAATATTCGCATTAGAGATACGCGTGGGGTAAATTTTTCCAGCTAAATAAATCGTTAGAGCCACCTCGATGCTCGAGCGCGAGCTTGTGGCGCTCGCTTCCACCGAGCCGCTTCGAGACGCGTGTTTTTAAGCAAATAGATCCG